CATCAACAGTGTTATTTTGCCTTGACTGTTTTGAAAAGACTATTTTTTTCCTTCACTACCTAATCTCTACAGTATTTTTTTTCCTTACTGCAAAGAAAAATCAGCAATACCATTTGGTATTACAAAATTCGGCTATATCTGGTTTGTTTTGCATTTCTACTAAAAGGCATGGGGAAACATTATTCTATTTGGAACCAACCACAAGCTATACCTGCAAATTTTAAAAAAGTATTTTGTGATAGAAGAGATATCCTGAAACAAAATCTTTTGCATGCCCTGCATATTAGAAATATCAAAAACTAACATTTCTTCAATATAAGTTACTGTTTGATACACAGTCTTGATGGACAAAACATTATCACAGAACAATTCAAGAGGCACTATCTTCTCATACTGCAGTTTAACTGAAATAAGGAGCAACTCTCCAGTCAGAAATATATATAAACATGAGATCTGCAATTTAAACCTCCCATTAGCTAATGAGTGTTCCATTTTTGAGACCTTTATTTTAACTGTATTTTAGAAAGGAGACTACTTCTCTGCATCCTAGAAACATCAGAGTTCATTATATCCTCATCACTAAAATAGACCATTTACTCCTCAGGATGCTGATAAATTGATTTTGGAGTTTACTGGATAGTTTACATTGTAATGAAGAGCAAAGCTCTGAGTCAACCTGACAATTTTGAAATCTAAAACACTGAGGCAGATTTTTTTAATCATCAATTTCAAATCTGTATGAAAACTACAGAAAAGAATGGCCAGACTGTCAGGCTCAGAAAGCCAATTCTGTTTGGGAATATGGAATGCACATCAAGAAGATTTGTCCACAGCACTTAGCATCTTAGGAACTTGAATGCAAGCGTAAGACTTGGCTAATGGATGATTTCATTCTCAGAATGCCCAGCTGAAATGGGAGAATGATTTCTCTCCACCTACCTCCCAAGTCAAACAAACACATGGAAATAAAACCAACTCCCAGAAACCAATACACTTTCCTAAAGAGCTGAGTTACAAGTTTTCACTGATATGACATAAAATTTGCTGTTAACTCATGACAGGCTAAAAGTAATGAGATTTACTTAATTATCTGCCTTCAAGGTTCAGCCCCAATTCTTTTTTTTTTTTTTGTATCTTTGATTAGCCATAGGCTGAAGTACCCCCCATCAGCTACTGGCTACAACAGTTATGCCTTAAACCACTGAAACTCCTTCCTCTCATAGCCCACCACTTCCCTCTGTCTCAACACACCTCTAGTGAATGCCCTTCTGGGGACATGTTGTTCTCCATACCTTTAGACTTTGGGCTCTTTGCTTAAAAAAGAAATCATTAAAGGAGCTTTATGTGAACAACACATTTACATTTTTTCAATTCTATGTAAGAATACAATCCTAAGGTTTCACAAAATCTTAAAACATTGCCAAAAATGCATCCTACAGGATCTGCCCTCTGGTGAAACACTAGATAAACTCAGATATCTCATAATTTCTTTTGACTTAAGAGTTTGTGGCATTTGGCAGTATGTCTGTGGGTACTGCCCAGGGTGGCACTTCAATCTAGGAATACCTCACTAGGAAGAACTGAAAGGACACAACCAGGTCATTTCACATCACCTGACTGCAGCTGGAAGTTGCTGCTCTGGGATCATCCATCAGACTGAGCCAGACTGGAACTCATCACCCAAGACCAAGTAATGTCTCAGGAAAAGAAAATATTGTATTTGTAACGAGTTTTATGTTTTCATCCTAACTTGGCTAATACAAGAATCACCACATCATGTACTGCACTCAAGTAAAGCAAAAGTTGACCTCAAAGAAGCAATAGTTACGGACAAGTTTGCATTCCAAAAATACATACGTTTAAAACAGACATGGCACTAAGTTACTTTGCTGCAAGCAGTAATTTATGAAATGCTTGTTACACCTCCACATTTTTTTTGTTCTTAAATCCCATTTAATATGCCAATCTTATTTCAGGAGGAAATAAATTAACTCTGATGCTTTGTGCCAATGCAGATTAGCTTCCCACACACCTGTATTGTGTTTCACACTTCAGTTAGTCATCCAGATTTCGACAAACGAACAAAGTACTTCTAAACAGATTCCATTCCCAAAGCTAAGGATGCAGAAAGAGGAAGAAAGAGGACTATCTCACAGAGTCCCCCAGTTTCATTAGTGCAATGTCTAGTTGCAGCTATGGACAACCACCTTTACAAAAAAAGAACTATCAGTTTAGATCTAAGACAGCCCAAGAAGCCCACTGAGGTGGTCTTATCCCCACTACAATTTGGTCCCCAAGACTGCAATTCCCATGAGCCATAGCCAGGATGGGCTGCAAACTGCTCCCACTCCTGTGAACTTTCATAACTCAAACTCTCCATTATTAGTAGGAAAATAGATAAGTCTGCATTTAACATAAGCGAGATACTCCTGTAGAGTTATGCATGGTTCAGTACCAGGAGATCCTACACCGAAAGACTCTCAAACCCAGAATTACAGAACACCCAGCTTTTCTGTCTCTGTTAATCCCCATTCCACTATCTGGAATATGACTAAAAGCACATGTATTTGTATTGTGGTAGCTGCAAGCTAATGTCCTGCCTAAATTATCAACTGTTATTAGAACCCCAGACAATTGCTTAATAAAAATTTAATCATATTGTAATTTCTAATCATCATTACAGATGCTTCACAAGTTAATCTCTCCCTAACATTGCGGATCAGAAAGTCAGCTGGCATAAGGTGGCACAGCTTCACCAATACCAATAGGGCTACTCTCACATTAACCCAGCTGAGGATCTGGCTCCAAGATAAAATAGCTGTATTAAAATCTCACTACAGCTTCTTTTGATTGTTTCTCTACATTGCTTTGCTGTTAATCTAAAAAAATAATAACAAAAGCAACAGTTTATGGCTTTTAAAAAATACAGCATCAATCAAGGTATTTCATGCACCTCTATCTTCTGCTGTCTGTGGTAGAGCAAACACAGCATTACTCTACAGATCAAAGGTGTCCTCACCTTTTCGCAGCTCAAAAACTCCTCACTTTGACTTTGTCCACGCATAGCTACATCTGTCTGACAGCAACACTCATGCACAGAAAACATGGGAGGATCATTAGCAACCAGTGAGTTTGCCTTTCAGATCAAATCTGTTCCAGCTGCCTAGATGAGGGGTCAAAAGATGCTCTGTAACCTCTGCCTTGCAGAAGTAGATATCAGTTCATTTCAGGAAACCAACACGTTTCCTCATCCTTCCTGTGGACCGGCAATCTGTGCTTAAGAGAGTTTGAGGACCACACAGCCAGTCAACTTTAACTGAACCAGGCTGCTGCACAGAGCCACACACTTAGCTCTCATCTCCCTCATATTTTTTGTTTGTTCAATAATCCCATAACACTCTCTAAATTCACATACTGGTCACAGGAGAACAACTGTGAAGCCTACTCTGAGGCTGCTCTGTGGTGTATGCATACCGTACCTCCTGCAACCACATCTTTCTGTGGCTTCAGCTGCAGGCAAGTGAAAACAGAGCAGAAATGGTTGGTGCAAAAGGGCTGCTGGGCTCCACTGTAATTCAGTGGTTTCATGTAAACCTCTGAGTGATCATGGCTGTTCCTTCAGTGCATAGCTTGGAAGAACAGGCAGGAGAATGGCAAACCAAACCAAAGTCAAAAAGGGCTTTTTTTTAATCCTACTTTGTCCACAAAACAGCTCACTGATTCTACCTATGTCTGCACACAATGACCATTATCATGCACAATGCGGTATCCTCGAAGCTAAATAATATTCATTTAATAGACTTCCATTAAATATTGATTTTCATTTAATATGTACAACTCTGATATTAAAACTTAATCTGATTGGCAAAGATCTGCTCCTGCTTACTATATTGACACTTACTGAACCAAATTGCTTATATCATAATATTTACTTTCAGTATGACAACCGCATGACCAACTACAGCATGATTTAATCTAAAAAACAACCTTTTTAAACATTAGTTGGCATTTACTTAAGCAAGCCCTTAACTGTTAGAACTGAACCTGCCCCTACAAAAAAACCCAACATGTTATCACATACTAAAACAAGCAAATGGACTCCAACTTTGATAAAAACATTCTTCATTAGTATTGAGCCCAGGGCAAGATTCGTTGTCCCTCTTGTTTTTAACATCAGAAACTTGTTGATCCAAAACTAAGTTCATTCAAGTACATCTCCAAAATACGTATTACGGCATGCCATCCAAACCTATTTCACGCCATCACGCACTCAACAAAATTGATGCTGCACCTCACAGACACGTTAACACAACATCGAATGTATTCCCTCATGAAAATCTCAAAGAGAAGATGTTGGTAAATTTCTTCCCCTCCTAAATGCTGTAGTAACAAAGTATTTATTGCACCCTTTGGTGAGAAAATAAACACATAGCAAAGACCACAAACACACTATGGTGCCCTCGGTCAGTTTCGACACCTTCATTCAAGATGGTTTTGCTTCCCAACAACAAACGAGGCCAATGTATAGGCAGGAAAAGCCGATATTCCTATCAGTTCCCAGGCCAGACACGGGTCTGCACAGTGCATCTGGCACCCGCTGCCACCCCTCCCGCCCGTCTTCGGCTGGGCACCGCGTCTTATATTTCCTATCGTATGACCGCGTATGCTTATGTGACTGTTCACTTCTACAGCGCCTACACACCACGGCAACAGCCCCGAGTGCGAGGAGGCAGCGAGGAGGTAGCTCACAGCGCGGCTCCCCGCCGCGGGCGGCCCGGCTCTCCCCGCCACCGGCGCCGCGCCCCCTCCGGCCGGCGGGACGAGCCCAGGGCGCGGGGGAGAGCGGCGGGGAATGCCCGCTCTCACGGATGCGGGAACCGCGCCGTGCCCAGGGGCGGGTGTGTGCCTACGGCGGGGGGAGGCGTGTTGTGCGGCGGGGCCACATGGGGCGAGACGGACTGCCTGCAGCGCAGGGGGCGACGGCAGCAGCCGCTACTCACCGGGAGGGTTTACCGCCGCCGGCGTTGCCATCTTGTCTCTGAGAAGAATTAAGACAAATGCAAGAGGGGAGGAGGGATGCTCTGAGCAGCCCGGGGGAGGGGAAGGCAGCCGGCGCCGGGGCGGGGGGGCGGGAGGCGCGGGGACGGCGGCGGGGTGCTCCCGCCCCGGGTCCCGGCGGCGGCGCTCCCCGCTCTGCGCGGGGCGGCCCAAGATGTCCGATGGCCCCCGCACCGCGTCTGCTCATGCGCCGCGCACAGTGAGCATGTGCCGGGCGGCCGCACATGTGCGCTGGGACCGTGCCCGCCGGCGGCCGGCGGGGAGAACCCGCTGCGAGCACGGGGGGAACGCGTCCCTCGTCCCCGGTCCGGACCGGATGCGCCTCTCGGGGCTCGAACCCGCGGACCCGCTGTGCGCGGCTCCTCATGGGGTGCGAGCTCCCTGCAGGGAGGTCTGTGATGAGGCCCCGGGTGCTCTTTGGGATGTCGGTGTCGGTGCTGCCGCCTGCCAGCCCTGGAGCTGAGCGGGAGCGGCTGGGGTGCAGCCTACCGGCACCCAAAACTAAAGGCGCCGCTGCGGGATGCAGGAGAGGAGCCTTTGGGTGACATTAACACCATCCCTTTTGTCCCCGAACGGAGACGGAAGTGGGACGGAGCCCAACAAACCTGTACACCTCCAAAGCATCCTTCTTTTGGTGTTCAGGAGTGCCGTTTCTGTGAGACCCCAGGACCAACGCATGCACTGACATGGGGCTGATGTTCAGCGAGGTCAGCTGTGATATGAGCCCTAGAGCTTTTTAGAGGGGGTTAGAGGAGCTATATTGTCACCTTCACATTACAAATACATTAAATATGTCTGACTGCAAGATGGATAGTGCTATACAGAAACATCTCAGTCCTTTCTTAATAATACTGATTACGAGGAATTACAACAAAATGTAAGAACTCTCTGAGTTCTTTAAAAAAATATCTAGGAATTCAGAGACAGGTTATTCTGGGCTCCATGGGCAGTATAAGAATCGAATTGTATCCCTCTAAAACCCATGGTTTACCTCACACTATGCCCACGTTCAAGCTAAGTAGTGCAACTGAACAACTGATCCTTTGTAACTCTCTCAGCTCGCATTGTAAAGTTTTCTATTACAAACACAAGGACTAAAAATACACTTTCAATGAAATCTGAGATTTTTCTCATAATCTCAGGTCTTTAAGAGGAAAAAAGCCCCAGTATCAAAGAACAAACAAATTGCGAGGCTTGTGAAAAGCCACCAGTGTAATAACTGCAGCAGTCACATGTAGTGTGTACATAATACTGATGAAATAATTTTGATGGCTTTTTCAAACCCTGGAATGCTGCAAAGGCCTGTTAACTTTTAACTGCCTCCCCATGTCTGTGCTCAGTTGCCCTGAACAGCCCTGCAGAAGTTAATGGAAGCATTCAAAATGAAAAGTTGCAAATGAACTCCATGCTTTGCTGAATTAAGTAACCTGGATTAGTTTAGCCATTAAGATGTAAATTGGCAGAAAGATGGAGAAAGCATGAAAGCTGTGTTTACTCATTTCCTGTAGATGAGTTTAATCAGAGTAGCATTAAACGCTCCTCCTTATCTAGAAAGTTTACTTTATCTTTGATTTATTGTGGTTTTGCCCATCAGAAGTTGAGCTGTTTTTCTAAGCATCTCACTACTTTAGTGCCTTCTGATGGTATGAATTTTTGGATACTCAGCAGGCAATCTTAATTCTTATTTTAAGGCATTTACCCTGCTAATACTAGAAGATTGTGTTAGTATTAGTAATATTGTAAATACAGTTTATTTCCATTCAGATAAAACATTGTGGTGATTTCAGAGATCCTTGGTCGCAGCATTTCTAGATTCTTACCTTCAGTGAGGAAAGCAAAATTTGGAAGAGCTTACCCTGCTGCAGAAAACAGGTTGTAGCTCAATTCCTTTCTATAAAGTCTCATGTTCAAATTGCACAGGTAATACTGCTCATGAGAACTTTTCCATGAGCCTGCATTATATCAAGATACAGACATCCATAAAGTCTATGGGACAAACCCCCTAATACTATGTTAGTAAAATATCTTATAAACCCATAATTTATAGCACTGGGCGCTTGTGAAGTATCCTCTGAAGGCATTTACAAGTATCCATGGGTTCAGAGTTATCTCTCTCATACAGAAAAGCATTAATATTTCTTACTTCATTTCTATTTTAGAGATAAGGAAGCCACCCCGGAAGAAACAAACCTGGAGATTTCTGACAGTGCGCTATCATGGCTTTCAACAGATGTAAGGAATAAGCCTGAATATAATGACTGAATATAAACCAATACAAGTGTGTGTGTTGTCCCCTTGCATAATATCCCATGAGACACTAGATTAGCCCAGAAAGAGCACATTGCAGCCATTATATTTGGTACTGTGCTCCACCTAAATAAGACCTCAGGGCTTAGGATGGAACGCGTTCTGTCAAATCTACTGTGAATTCAGACATCATTATGCAAAATAAAGATGCTTTTCTTTTTTTTGTTTGGTGTGAGCTTTGTTGACTAGCTCTGTTCAGTTTTACACGTAATTCTTTGTTCACTTAAATTGATTGAGAAATGAGATTGATTTTCTCTCCTCCCCGTCTTCTCTATCTTAATAGGCAGCATTAGCAGAGCCTTTCAGAATCTCTGAAACAATCTATAAATTAATGGAACTGTTCTGTGGTTGCTTGTAATAAACTACTTCCTTGCTATCTCATTTTGAGCCTTTCCATACCTGTGGTGAGATCTGTAAAACCAGTAACTGAAGAGAGAGACCATCACCACTCTTAAAATTGTGTTTTACTAATGGTAGAAATGCGTGCTCTGTGTTTTATTCTCACTGTAATACAAAGAAGCATACACAGTACAACCTGAAATCCCTGTAGTTACTGAATTAATTTCTTCAAGTTCATGCCAGGCTGTGTACCTTGAAAGCCTAATTCCTGTGGAAGGGGGCTCCTCACAACAAAAGCAGGGACAGCACTGGACTCTGCCCTTGCAGTTGCTGAGAGATTAAACAGCTCTGTATCAATACCAATACAAAACCTAATGCACATGCAAGTTGGCAAAATGCAACATTTTTCCTGTTCATGTGGCACAACAGGGGGTGCTTCACTTATCATATTAATATAATTACAAACAAGTGTTGACATGATGTGTAGCAACAGGAAAGTAAACGAATTAAGAAAAGTGATTTTTATCTCAATCTTGTTATTATGTGCCAGAGAATGTCTGCTAGGTATCTTTCAGTGATTGTTTCCAATTTGGAGGGCTATTATCACTGATGGTAGAGCTCAGCATACATGCGTATTCTGCTTCTTGGCTCTAGAAGTAGAAATAGATCAGTTGAGCACCACAGCACACTGTAACTGCTTTTCATTAACGCTTTTCCTTTGAAAGCTAGCTCTGGCCTGCGAAGTGGAAAACCTGGAGTTGTACCTCTCCATGTGTTTTCATCCCATGCCATGTACTAATAATTTCTGAAACATTTTTACTTCTTTATATATTTATTTTTATGTGGCAGATGTCCCTGCCCATAGCAGGGGGGTTGGAACTAGATGATTTTTAAGATCCCTTCCAATCCAAACCATTCTATGATTCTATGAAATAGAGAAAAGATGAGTTTTTTAATTATTTCCTTTAAAAATCTGAAGTCTTTCAAAGATGGTTTACTCCATGTGAATGAGTCAAGTCCACAAACAAAAATCACAAAAGAAAAAGGTAATAAATTGAAGCTAGTAACAATGTATGTACAGCATCAAAAATGGATAAAAAATGTCTTTGGTTTTTTTACCAATTTATGATAATTCCACTTTAACAGAATTAAAAAACAAGGTCTGAAAACTTGAACCTACAGTTCCACATAGAATTTTCTTCTCTGGGGACATGAAACCGCTAAGAGAAGTTTCAGACATTTTAATGCAGTGTAATCAAAGCCAGGGACATTATAAAGTCTCATACTTTAATAAGACCTCCTAGCTACAGTCTTTGATCCATGTTTCTATTGTAATTGAGTTAATATATTGTACCCAATTCATCCAAAAGTGTCAGATAGTTTGGAATAAGTGTGATATATATATATTAAGCAACCCCATCTACCCAAGTACTCAGAACTGGATCATTACATGCCCTTTTTAATTTGTTTCGTCACATATGGATGACCACACTTGCCTAAATAAGCTGTAGAGAAAATGATGACATTTAAAGCATGAACTATCATAGGAAGGTCTTAAAAGCATTTGTTAAGGAAATTACAACCTTGTTCTTTAAACTGTCCCATATAATTTAAGAGAAAATTGTATTCTTCCTATAAAATGCAATAAAATACCTAGAGAAGAATGTGGAAATTATATTAATCTCTATTCAGTCCTGGAGGTATAGAAATGTAATTTCTATGATGTTCTCTACAGTTATTGCTGTTAAATTTTGCAGTCGTTTTCTTCCAGGGAAAATGACATTGAGTATTAGAGAAACCCTCCTAAAGGTGAAATGTCTATGGCAGAAGTCCTCTTACCTAAGAAATGGAACTGAGATCAGACAAGTATTTTTCTGCTAGTAAAAGCATGGACTAGGAACCAAGCACACAGGCATCTTTTAACTTCAGCTCTAAGGTTTCAAGCTTCTCCTAAGTTTGCATAAACTTAACTATGTGGTGTTAACAACCAAAATTTAAACAATGAAACTTGATTATAAAGCCTGAGAGAGGAATAAGTGGTGCAAACACATTAGCACATAACTCGCTTTCTTTACAATGTTTGCCAAGCAGATTTTATTTTACTTCCTGATATTAACATCCCTCACTGGCAGAAGCACTGCCAACAGTACGCATCATTAGAGACTGTTGGTGGTTGTGTCAGGCAGAACTGACCCCATGGAGTCTGGGGATATAGCTTTGACAGTGCACACTTGCTGGTATTCCTGAAACCATTCTGGGAAGCAGCCAGGTAAAAAACAAAAGAACTATAAACAATGCTGGTCTACTTACCAAAACCTTGAGATGTGAATAAAAAGATAGATCCCAGAAATAGCCCTGGGGCCTGAATCATCAAACTGACACAGAGCTCAGAACTATCTGAGTCAAGCCTTTTTTCCCCAAATGCCATGTTTCTCACTTTGAAATAAAATAAAAACTTATTCATTTGAAGGGATGTGTTTGTGCTATGTTTTTATCAGGATATTATGATTTAAAGCATAAAGGGACTGAG